TCAAATTTATTTTATAAAATCTTTCAATTTGATTTGATTCAAGTTATATAAATTTTAAACTTGACTCAATTTGACTCAACTCGATTTTAATTCGATTCGACTTTGAAAAAAATAATAAAAAAAAATGAAAAGATTGGGGGAAAGGGGGGGGAAGAAAAAAGGAAAAAAGCGAACAATTCAGGTCATATTTAAGTCGAACTATTTGTCATCATTCTTCTTGAATGATAAAAAAATATCGTTTAAGTCGAACGATTCATCATCGTTTTTCTTGAATGATAAAAAAATTGTTCAAGTCGAACGATTTGTGATCATTCTTCTTAAACGATAAAAAATATCACTCAAATCAATTCGAATCAATTCGAGTCAATTTGAATCAAGTTGAGTTTAAATCAAGTTGAGTTAAATATTTAACTTGACTTGAATTTGACTTGACTTGCAAATCATTGAGTCAAAAAACATAAACTCAACTCGATTTAAACTCAACTCAGCTTATCTGACTTGTGAGTTAATTCAACTCGTCCAGAACTCTATTAATTCCAACTGCTAGAAATAATAATACTGAAAAAGTTTTTGCATTACATCAAAAACTTATTGATATTTTGACAAAATTTGAAATACATATTATTTCTATTGGATTAGATAGAGCAGCTACAGAATTTCAAGCACAAATCCTGTTACAAGCAACTAAAACTAACAGATATGTTCAACATCAAAACTTTTAATTTGATATTAATTTTAACTATCCTGTATTCTCTAAAGTTGGACTTGTAGTTCGAATTCAAGACCTAAAACATGAAAAAAAACAGTAAGAAATGCTGCTATGTCTGATGTCTATTTACTTCTTTTGGAAATACTACTGTCTGATTTGATCAACTATTAGAATTATCCTGTAAAGAAAATAGTATTATGTATAAATGGGATGTTATAAGATTAGATTGCTAAGATGACAATGCAGCGTATAGAGTATTTTGCTCAAAAAATCTGGAATAATTACTTGATGAAGAAAAAAATTTACCTTGTGAACAACGTAGTTGTTTATTTATCTTTCGTTATAGATAAATACTATTATTTTTATTTTTTATTAAATATTTAATTAATTAAATTTAACTTAGAAAAACTTATTGATTGCTATTTCAATCAAAATATTACACATTATGAAAGGATCAAAATAGCTATGACTGCATATTTTTTTTTATATTTATAGAAATATCATATTGAAACTCTTAATATACTTTATCCTTCTTATATATCCATTTCAAAAACTTTTAGCAACACAAACTTTTAATATTATGATTAGTCTAGTTGAATCCTTAGTTCTTTTAATTAAAATTTATCGTGATTATTATAAAGATATTTCTTATTACATGAAAACATGACACTGGGTCATGTGAACATATTTTTGAAATTTTCTGCTAATTTTGCTCTGATTTTAATTATTTGAAAATCGTTCAAATGGTTCCAAAAATTAATCAATATTTTAAATCTGTTAATCTAATAATTGACATTTAGAAAGGAAAAAATAGTGCATGAAGTTAAGTATTTTTAAGTCTATTATATGATTTAATTTATTTTACATCATATAATTTATTGTATTTTTGATCAATTTATTTAGGTTAAGATTTTAATGGATGTAAAAAAATTGATCTTATAGGTGATAATCTTGAATATTTATGCTATTGACCATCTGATGTTGAGATTGACAATGCAATCAAAGTAAGTTATGAAAAAGCTGTTCATTTAGCAAAATATTTGAAAATGACCGCTATATCACATGACACCTATTACTTTACTATTCACAAAAGACTTTTTACTTTACAACTTGAAGTTTTTTGAGATGATAATCCAAATTTATTTAGATATACTAATGAAAAGTCTAATAATAATAATGATTCAACTATTTCTCAAAATATAAACTATGCAGTATCTAAGTTATCAAGTCAAAAGAAATCTGATTTATCAGATTTGGATATTATAGCATCTACACCTTTATTAGAAAAATTTATAAAACCTATCAAGTAATTGTGAAATATGTTCAAAAATTACCTGATATTTTATAGTATCCAAATTGTAAGTAATTTATTATTATTATTTAATATTTTTTCCTAATTTGTTTTTTTTAATTGTCTGTATATTTATATGTAGATTCCAAAGATTTTGATTATATTTTGGATGATGGATTATTAAATATTGAATACTTTTAAATTTGCGTTAATATCATAATGATTATTCAAGTAAAAAGCTTGAACACAAAAAAGTTTTATTGAGAAATATCAATGAAAACAATAGCGAAGTTGACATTAATAAAGCAAGTAGTTTGGTTTCATATTTGACTAAAAATGATTTCATAACTATCAAATCATGAGAAAATAGATGAAAATCAGGAGAAAATAATAATAAAGTATTTGAAAAGCAAAATTCTCTAGGTAAACTTAGAATTTTTCTTATTAATTAGTTTCTTAATTTTTTTTAACTTAATTTATCTTTTTATTTATTTTTTTAGAGCATCTTTCATATGCTAATGTAACTGCTATTTTTCTATTACAAACTGGTTCTTATGTAATAGCTATGTTTAATAATATACTTTGTATTGCTCAAATCATTGCTATGTATGAACAAAAGGCTTCAATGCATTCTTATATTGATACTTTTGTTTCAAATCTCAAATCTCTTTCATATGTATCTATGAAAATTTATTTTTATATTAATGGTACAATTTTTCAGAGATTTTAGATAATTTTTTTTGTATTTTTATTCATGTTGACATTATGTATATTATTTACTATTTGGCTTCTAAAGATATTAGTGTTAATGAAGAAGCATTAATTCTTAAAGAGTGTGCAAAAAAAACTTTTAATATACTTAATAAAGAACTGAATAAATAATTTGTATATAGATTATAGAAATAAAATAAAAATACAGTTTCGAATAGTTTGGTTATATGATTTATCAATCAATTTAAAATTAAGAAACAGGAATGATTTTCAATGCACTTTTCATGATGAATTTAATTAATTATGTATGCATTATAAATCTTATTTTGTTATTTTTACAGTTTATGCAAATTTATTCAATAAACTTTATTAAATAATATAAAAAATATTTAAAGTCATCTTTTGAATTTTAGTAAAATAGTATAAATTTCAATGTAATAATTTGATTTTAAGCAAATTAGACTAATTTTGAAAGGAGCAAAAAGTAATTGATTTTATGCAGATCAGTTATAAGTTCTATATGTAATGTCTGAAATCCTGAAAAAATGAAATATCTACAAGAATCAAAAGAATATGTCTTATTGAAATTCCCTATATAGCTGATCTTCTATTCTTTATCAAATATACTCTAATTGAGAAAGTAATTCTTCAAGTTAGATTAGAGAGAATTATCTTCTTAGCATTTTTCCGAGATCATTCAGTCTTGAAAATTTGCAAGATTATTTTAGAATATCATTAGTAATAGTTCAACATGAAAATAAAAAAGCTTAAACTAGTTGATAAACTTATATACTATATTAATAAGATTAAAGATGTCAAAAAATATAACAGACATTTAATTATTTCCTAATGGTCTTTCACTTTACTGATCTATAGCTATACTAATTCAGAAAAAACTAATGAGGTTTTCAATCTCATACTCAGAAATAAGCTTTATCGAATGTTTAATAGAAAGAAAGAAGGGATGTGCTATATCAAGTGTGATGATTTGCTACTCATTAACCACAATCTTAAAGAGCTGAAATATATATATCTAAAATTGGTGTATTAGATAATTGCAAATAGTCTAAAGCTTTATTGTGAATATATTACATTCTGAGCTTTGAAGCCTGATAAAATCCCTAAGGTGGATTTGTTTTCTCTAGACAGGAGTACAGTACCTATATTTAAAGATGTATGCACTAACCCAAAAAAATGCAGAAGAAGATCATTCTTTATTTTGTTGAGAGACGCAACTACAATGTCAGTTTGATATATGTATTCCAAAGCTACTTTGATTGTCTAAAGATAATACGAAAAAATCTCACATATCTGTCTATTTAATGGGTTTTGCATTACAGATGAGCTAATCAAAATTATACGTCAATATGCTAATGACTGGCGTAATGTAATTAAGATTATTAATAAGGCATTATGTGAGCAAAAATTCATTGTTTTCAATCTAACTGTATCTTATGAACATTTACACAGAGTATGTCTCAGCTGAGACCAAATTTTGGAAAAAAGAGTCCTAACTAATAAGTAGAATCTGACTTTATAAATGCTAGCTCTTTTTCTGTCTCTTGAATCTGCATCTTCAGATCCTCTATTTTACTCTGCATTTTCTTGTTTGTATTAACCTGCTCTCTATATTCCTTTTCTATGTCATGCATAAACTTCTCAAAAGTTCTTTATTATAATCAAATAGATGCTGAGATAATACTTTAAGCTCATTCATAATCTAGTGATTATTCTTTTCTTCATGATTATGTTTTAGTACTTCCAGTTGAGTAATATTATTAGTTTAGGTTCCAATGTCTACAACATATATAGCCAGTATTGCTGAGAATACATTGCATTCTGGCCAGCTTTGAGGATGCAATAATTTGTCTGAGCTATATTTTTGCATTTCCTATTTAATAAATTCTCATAAACTTTTAATTATACCTTAAATATGACTCAATTCGATCAGACTTCTCAGAAATCATTTCTAATGAAACAGGATTTTTAGAGTGATTTAAAAGACCTTGATATGCTCTTTTGACTAGGCTATCTGGAAGTCTGTCAGTAATATATTTATAGTCAGAGTGAAACATTTTATTAGAAATAGTTTTATGCAAAAAAGTTTGTATGCAAGAAATTCACCTATAGATATAGCATTAAAAGCTTTTATTTTACTAATAAATTTATGCGTTAATATCATAAGTTGTGATACATCTGGCTGATCAAGAATTTTCATATTATTATACAAGTCGATTGTGAAGTCTACTGACTGAAAAATAGACTTCAACACGTATAGCAACGTTTTAGATATCTGAAGGATAACAATTTATGTTAACAATCCTAAAGTCTTATTAGTGTTAATAGAATTATTAATATAAATCACTACAATCAATATATATGTTTATATAGGAGAGCAATAATGATAGATTGGATTTTATGTTACAAGTTTAACTAATTAAAGTTATAAGGTAAAAGGTTAGTTTATTAATTAAAGAAATTGAGATCAATACTATTCAATAATTTTAGATAAGCTCTTATTCGCAAACTTACAAAATTAAAAAATAAATAATAAACTAAAGTATATCAAAACTGTATTAGAAAAACTATTTAATAATTATTCTCAAGACTATCTAGCTTGACTTTATTAACTGAATAATTATCTGACTTGTAATTCACTCAAGACTATCTTAGACTAATTGACTGACTAAAACTGACTTATGACTGAATGACTTATAACTGACTGACTAATTGATGAGAATATATGAAATTCCTATTCTATTTATACAAAACTTTGGATCTAATTCTATTACTAAATTAAGATAAAGTACAACTTAATAAACTACAGAAACCTTGTAAACATTGTTAACTTAATTAACAAGTTTAACTAAGTAAACCAATTAACTATATAAACATATTTAATTTTGTTAACGTTTTTTTTTTTTTTTTTTTTTTTTTTTTTTGAATTTTAACGATGTAGTACTGCTATAAGTTTATTTAATAGATTTATAATGTTAAATGCACTAATCTATGTAAAATAAAGCAAAAGATACAAATAAGAAAATCTAAAACTAAATTGTAACTACCCCCGTAACTCTATTTTAAGCCCATTTAAACTAACCAATCACTGGCTTTTTCTTTCAAGAAGTCTACTAAAACAATTTCTAATAAATAATTTGTCAATAAGACAAGCTAATGAAGATGTTAGTAATACAACGCTTTTTCTTAAACTAACCACTAATCCCTTAACTAAAAAATTTACACCCTTCAGAATACACGAATCTGAGATTAGTTTCTGAAAAAAGAAAGGTTAAAAAAAACAACCAACTCTAACAAGTTTCTAGCTAAAATGCCTGATTAATTCCAAGTTACAACAACCTCTCACAACAGGAATGTCCAAAACACTAAGTTCTGTTGAAGGCTTTTTGGATATCTTAAACTTTCATGTTAATATATCTATCAATTTAGATTATAACTGCAGGCAAAACACAGAGCTAAAAACATATAGTTACGAGAACTGAAAAATTCTATTAAGATCAGTGGACTCTATAACGTCAGAAAATCTTCAAAAAAATGTTATTGTTTATGAAAGTAATTGGATAATTATCATATAATATTTGTTTACATCTAAAGATAGGTTGATCCTAATCATCATTTCAGATACTCCTTGATATCCACTTTTGTAAGCAAAAAAGAAAAAAGAAAATAAACGAGAAAAATATTCAAGAAAAGTAGTAAAAAAAATATTTTAACAAAAAAACACCACCGTTTGGACTAACAACAAAATATTTTTTGGTTAAGGGTATAAGAAATAAAGAGAGAAATATTTTTGAAAAAGGGAGTTATTGTTTTTATTTGCAGGTTAAGCTGTGGTCGCTCTTGAATGAACACGTTAATTATGTAAAAATTCTTAGACAAAATTCAATGAGAGAGAAAAAATTTTCAATTTCATAATTTCATTAATGACGTTTTTTTTAAATTAAGACTATCTCTCGTGATTCTGTTACAAACTCGTTTAGATTGATCAATCACCGGAATATTTCTCAAAAAAAAACCAAAAGATCTATATCTAATAATTTAGTCATCAAAAAGACATTCAAAATTTCATTAACAACGTTTTTTTTTTTTTTTTTTTTTTTAATGATATGGTACTGTCATAAGTTTATTATAATTATATTATAGTATTACAAATAAGATTAATGATAGAAAACTAGAACTAAAATTAAAAGTAAAAACAATAAAAAATTAAACTATGATTATCTCTCGTAATTTTTTTACAAACCCATTTAGATTGACCAATTACTAGAACATCTCTCAAAAAAATAAAAAATCCATATTTAATGATTAAATCATCAACAAGATATTCAAATGAAACTGTCAGTATCTATCCAAGAAATTGAACCAAGAGAAGCTAAATTTTGTAGCTGAAATACACCAAGTAATCCAACTATTTGAAATAGTTTTATTAGAGAATTTCACAGTTGTAGGACGTTTAATCTTGACTTTTTTCTTTTTCAGTCTTATAAAGATACTATTTTTTCTCTTTTTTTAGATCATTTTCTTATATTTAGGAACCCAAATATAATCATGAAAGGCATTAGTGAGGAAGTTAGAAGTTTCTATAAGAAGACATTTTGAGTTAGAAGGAGAGAATAGCTTCTTAAGAAGTAAAAATATTTGATTAAGAATAACTCCTTTGGCCAAATGCATATAGGTGGTAAGATTAAGTGAAGGGTCTAATAATTCTATGAGCTGATTTTTGATGATAGAATAAAAGTTAAATCTATTATTATTTTTCTCAATTTTGTCTAGAATCAATTTGTTAAGAAAAACAAAAGTAGACGAGCAGATCTCTGTAATTTCCTGTATTCTATGAGAGTATATTTACAGATGATAGTAATCTTTTCTAGACAATGTACAATAAATATAAAACTAGTTTTTATATAGATCAGGTTGTTTTACTGAAAGTTTATCTATTGTGGGTAGCTTATCAGTTAAGGATTTTAACTTGAAGCCTTTTCTTCATTTTTATATAAAAGAGGTAGCAGCAGAAATGTCTCCCATATTTGAGAAAAACACAGAAAAGAGGTAGGCCAATGAATAATAAAAGAATAGGTATGTTAAGTTAATTGTGAATTTCTATTGAGGTCCATAAATGTTAAGAATTATTTAGCTGTATTAAGATTTTTTCAGAATTTTCTGGTTAAAGTTTCAACAGGAATTCGATTAAAGCTGAGAA